TGAACGTACCAAGAGGAGCTGTGGAGACGAAAGCATACCACTTGCGTTATGCCTAGCAATCAGTGCACGATGAATCTGTCTGGTAGGCCGACAGCGAAGTAGGTATGGTGGTGGACGTTGAGGATCATGTCCATAGTGTGATTCCTTTCAGAGTGGTGTAGAACCACTGCACCAGTGAGTGAGTGACTGGTTCTCGTGTTCATTCAGAGAAGGTGGCAATGATCAAACCATTCTGATAACCACCTAAACATGAGACGTACTACATTATAATTATACTCATTTTAAAGGAAAATTCAAGTTTTGTGGGTCACCTATTCATAAACAAGTTCCAAATGGATTCAAAGACCTAAATTCATGAATAGAATATATAATATAATATAATATAATACAATATAATATAATATAATATAATATATATAATAAAATATAATGTCAACAAAGCACAGGAATCAGGTAACTATCAAGACTTGAAATCATCGACAAGTAAATGATACTTCATGAAGTTAATCTTGGTACAGCACCCGTCGACAACGTGATTGATCAAACTCTTTCAGTAAAATCCCTCCTTTTATTCGTTACAGGTTATAATTTAATTGTTCATCTGATTATCTGGTAAAAACCTGAAAGGGCAAAATATGGCACCAATAATACTGTGTATGCATTCAGTCTGAAAAAACTTTGGTGAAATAGATTTGATATGATTTGTTGTTATAGCAATTTTATTCGGTATGTTCAATGTATTTCTCCTAAAGTATGGCTGGTTTATATTCAGTATGTGCATTATGCCAAAAAGTCGCATCAACTGCCCAGAAGGAAGGTCACACTCAATAAATAGAGGAGCATATGGTATGCTTTCAACTAATCGCTTTTACCAAGGTCATCAAACTTATAGCAGATTACCAAGCAAAACGCGATGACCACGTGGTCATTCACGACCATTTATTTAGATCAATATTTTCCCAACAATCGTACCATCTGTTTGGCATTGTTATTCTAGGGATCGTGCTTTAGCTGTTAATTGTGTTCCGTGAAACCGTGAAACCCTATTAAAAGACCATAATTTTTGTAATTCTAAGGACAAAGAAAATATAGATTTGCTTATGTAATTAACTCATCCATTCATTACTGTGATGCCCACACCTTTTGCGGCATAATTTAGGTTCCAAGTTTATTAACTCGATAAACTGCTAACATTCATTCATTCGTTGATAGCTAAGACTGGATA